AAAGAAAGAAAGAAAGAAAGAAAGAAAGAAAGAAAGAAAGAAAGAAAACAAAAAACAATCAAACATAGAATGAAGGCAAATGAGCTTGGTATGTGTCCCAGAGATCCCACTATGATTATGAGCCAAATTTTAATATAAAGGCATCTACATACAACTTCCATGACTATCTATACTAGAAAGATTCAGAGCAGAGGAGGCGAGAAGAGCCTACCTTGTCAACGATAAATATCCATGTAACTAAGAGTCCCCTTGCTGAAGTGCCTCAGTGACCACATCATTCCCCTGCTACTGGAGGTGTCTAAGAAGCGGTGGTCACTTACTGTGACTTACACACTTATTTACATTTACAGGCAAATGGGACAATGACTGTCTTTTCAAATCTAGTACTTTATAGTTAACTACATAAAAGCAGCCCTAAATTTACTACTGTTTAAAATTCTAGTTAAGATAACCTCATTATCTTTAAATACTGAGAACACAAATGGCCCATAAAAACTAGTTGTGTCAAGTAGCCACTTCCTACTTTAATATTCACTTGCTGTGCTCTGAAAATCTCTATGAGAGAAGCAGGAATTTTCCCTGTGTCTTTTGGCAATAGATTCAAAAGCAAAAGTTTCAGGCCTATAAAATTTCATGAAGTCTCTGGTTTTTAAAGCTAACTTATTCAGCATCTTGAATTATTATTGCACTCACATGTTGCCCGGAATAGGTCTAGAACAAAAGTTAAATAGGTCTACAAGCATTTGCTTTCCTTATTAGATAAGCAAGCTCGCATAAAAGAAATGCAAAATGCAATTTCAATAAGTCTATATATGTGTGACAATATATCAACTTCTTATAGAATGAAATCCAACCCCCAACACTTCAAATTCATGAAGAACCAGAAAGGAATTACTGTACACAAAAGTTCAAACTATTGACACATTCCACTTTGAGATCACTGAGCTAAAACTGCAATTTCTCAAGATTTAAGAAAAATAGATTTTAGGAAAGAGACTCTTTTAAATCACTGAATACATCATTTCTGCCATTAAGAGAAATAACTAATGCTTTTTTCTGAGATAATTCATTCTAATGAAGTAATTCTCTAACTCCTAATAAACACTACATTTACAAGAGTAAGGGAATTATCAGTAGGCATTCTTCCTTGTAAAGTTATTTGTCTCTAAAATACGTCAAGTAAGCTTTTAAGGACTCGGGAAGCGGCAGCTTCATGATCTTTTCCCTTAGTAAGTTCTGAGGTGGCTCCTCACGTTTCACAACTTCGCTGTTATCTTTCTCTTCTTCTTCTTTGCTGTCTTCTTCCATTTTCTCATCCTCTTCACTGTCTAGAGGCTGAGGGATAAGCTGATTACCCACAAATACGTAAGTGTTAATTCTCTGTTTAACTCTCTTTCTTTTCCTCTTGGGTGGAGCCCTTTGTGGAATCCCTTTGGCTTGCATCTCATCATTTATGAAGTTTCTAAGTGTGCGTCGAATGTAAATACGAGCCAAGTCTTGGAGATTCCTGACAGCACATGGGGCTAAAAACAAACAAAAATGAAAACATTATACACCACTCATTTCTTCACAGAACACTAAACTATAAAATACTGCTTAGAGAGTCCTTAACACACAACAACTGAATGCACACTGAGCAGGGCAGGCAGGAGAGAAAAATAAGAACATCCATGTTGCTATTTATATGCATGGAGGTTCTCTGGAAGAATAAATAATTTAGAAACAGGATAAGGACAAAAATGGTAAAGACATGAAAGGTTTTACCCACCATATCATTTTATACTGTTTTTTGTTTGTTTAAGTTATTGGAAGGAAATGCAACCATTTGTAACTCCAGTTCCAAAAGATCTGATGTGCTCTTCTGGCCTACAAGGGACCAGGCATGTTTGTGCTGCACATGTATAAATGCAGGCAAAACACTCATACAAATAAATTAAAAATAAATGTAAATTTGTTTTTTCTTAAGAAAATGAATACCTCATATAGAGACAAATACTTATCAGAAAAACTCAATGCAATGTTTCTGAAGCTGTTGGGGGGTTCACATATGGACACGTGCATGTGTGGCTGGAAAGTAAAGCAGAGAGAGGGAGGAACGGGAGGGGCAGGCAGAGTGAGTAAGCAATCGTATACACTTGTTCACAGCAAAAGATCATCCAATATGAGCTGTGAGTGAACAGAGATCCCCAATACAAGAGGCACAGTTTCAAGGTACTGATATTTATTTGTATCAAATTCATCACAAAATGGAGGAAGAAGGACCATAAATTCAAAGGTACAAAATACCAAGGGTGCCTTTGATATAAAACTGTTCACCAAATACTTGCTAAGCAGTAAGTCAGACACGTAAGAACACATTTAGACACATGACTGATTTAACCTGGAAAAGTCCTCAAATGCAGGGAGCACACATATATGGAAGAGAAAGGTTAAAAAGATGGAGATAGGATGAAGCGAAAAAAGAAAGAGAACAGAGCAGCAGTCACATTACACAAGTTCTCCGCTACAGGTACTGGAGTTTTCCACCAGCTGGTGGGACAGGCCTCCCTGAGAAGAATGCTTTGCCAGAGTCCAAAGGAGCTGATTCATCTAGTAGCCATGAAATGATCTAGGCAAAGACAGCAGCAAAGCCCTAATGGATGAATGGGCTTCATCTGCTCAAAGACTGACTACTGTGTAGGTGGTGATACCTGGAATAGCAGTTCAGTTGAACACTTGAGTGAGCACATGAGATGGCCACTCTGACGGGAAGCAGCAGGACAAATACAATATTGATATATGAGACAGCACAGAAACAAACTGGCTACAGGAGATAAAAGGAAAAATACCAAACTAAAACATGCAGTATCCAGCCTAAATTTCTGGGCAGATGCTGGTATCAAATACAAACCCAACAAATACAGAGAGGAGAACAGGATGAGAAGGAAATTCAAGTGTGTTTGTTTTGAATCTCCATCACTATCCAAGAAGGTTATTTCAGGAGCAATATCAGCAATATAGGAGACAGGAGGGTTGCAGGGACTTCCTCTGACCTCTGTATGTATGTGCACAGACCCATACACCCTTACACATGTGTATATGCATAACATACACAAAAAATAGACAATTTTTTAAAAAATGTATGTCTTTACATACTGGCATTTTAATCCGGAAATATGGCTGCTTTGGAAAGGGAACACATTTAAAGACCTTCTATATCTATGATATGGTGACACATCCTTAGTACAAGTCTTTAATCCCAAACAATGATGTCAACTGAGGGACAAAGTGACCTATCAGATAAAGACCACAAAAGAGGATATTCCCAACTCTCAGGAGAACAGAGAGGAAAGAGAGTCGACTTAAGAGAGACTATATATGATATACATACTACATATATATGATAGTTTATATCGTATATCAAATATGATATACGATATAAACTATCGTATATATGATACTTATCATATATGAATATATAATATAACCAATATCCAATAGCTTATATTCACATATACTCA